GGGTGGGGGGTGGGGAGGTGGTTGTTCTTTATTTAATGTTTTGTTTCAAACACAAACAGACATCCTTGAATGTACACTGACACTGAACCCGCTCTGTCACAACCTTCCAGGTTTAACACCGGATCCGGCACAGGCACTTTGATCAGCAAAGTTCAGATCAGTCCGGGACGCTGGCATCAGCTGGTGGTAACGCGCAACCGCAGAGCCGCCTTCCTCAGCGTCGACAACGAGTCCCAGGTCCAGGGTGTAAGTCCCCCAGGCACCGACGGCCTCAACCTCGACACCGAGCTGTTCATCGGAGGCGTGACGGAGGAGCTGAAGCAGGAGTAGGACTTTTTGTTTTGTTACGTCGTCATATTAGCAGCCTACTTCCTGTACGTTTAAACGGCTGAGCGATGCGACGTTTTTGTCTCTTCAGTGTGAGGGAACGGACAGGGGTCGCCTCAGGCCTGGTGGGCTGCATCCGCATGCTGGACGTCAACAACCGGATGCTCAACCTTCAGGAGAGCGACGGCGACAGTGTTTTCGGCAGCGGGGTTGGCGAATGCGGGAACAACCCCTGTCAGCCGAACCCCTGCAAGAACRGCGCAGAATGCCAAGTGAAGGAGGCCGAGATGTTCCACTGCAAGTGTCGCAGAGGATTCTGGGGTAAGACAAAGATGTGTTAGGTAGGCGTGCAACAATACATGTACCCGTCTCGAACCGTTCAATACAAAGCTTTAGATTCAATACACACTTGTATCGAACAATACAGATTTTTTTAATTTATTTTATCAGCTTATTTTCTGAAGATGCTCTGTGTTGAAAAATCAGTGGATCTGCATTTGGCCACTCTATCCAGGCTGCATTGTCGAGCACAGATCCACTGAGAAACTTGCTGTTTCAGCAACGTTAAATTTAAAAACTCTAATTTCGAGGTTAAACAAATGTTTATAATTAATTTCAATAAATTACAAGTTAGAAAGTGCATGGAAATACCTCTTTTTTGTATCGAAAAAAATCGAACCGTGAGACTAAAGTATTGAACCGAACCTAATCATGAATTTTCTGTGTTGTTGCACCCCTACTGTTAGGGTTTCATATTGTAGCAATGAGAATTATAAAATAAAGTGTTGTAGACCTCTGAGGCATTAATTCTGCTGTAAATCAGAGCATTTCAAAATTTGAGAAATACATTTTCTGCAAGAACGCAGTTTGAATGCTGAGTGCTGAATGACTTTGAAGAAGCTGAACGTAGACGATTAGACAGCATTAGGGTGTAGTCAACTGCTTATATAATATTAAAGTTTAGTCAGGGAAAATAATCAGATCTAACCTTCATGCTTAAAAAGTAGAGGGGTTTATTTTTAAATAGATGCAGGTCGGCGTAAATGAACACCACAAAGTCGCCTAATATGTGAATCTAAGTAGAATCGCTTTGTTTTTTATATAAAAGGAGCTTTTATGTTTGGTTACTGAGAGGCTCAAGAGGAAAGATGAATAAGTCTATTCATAGGATGCTGCAATGAGCTATGTTGGCAAAACGAATGGTGGTAATGAGATTTGGACCTTTGCCTGCGGACCAACGCTCAAGTTAATTTTATCATAATGTCAATTTAAAAGTGTCCAAGTTTAGTTTTTTTATTTTTCATCTCCAGGAAGGAAGGGTAGAGTTCTCAGAAAGAGAGCAGAGAGGGAATACATAATTGGGGAGGGCTGTAGTTAGAAGGGAGGACATGTCAGGACAACCGGATAAATGAGGGAGGTGAGGGAACATCAGAGTTCAAGGAAGAGTCGTGGAAACGAAAAGAAGAGGGGGGTGATGCGGCGGGGAAGAAATGAGAGTGGAGGATAAAAGTGGGAGTGAAGAAAACCGGGTAGCCCTGTGAGCTCAGCGGGGATGGGGTTCATTAACGCGCTCCTCACCACAGGCTCTGACTGCTGAAGTAATGACGGGTGAATTCAGAAGGGCTGTGGCAGAGGGCAAACCCATCATCCACCAGATGCGTGTGAGCCTTTTCAAAAAAAAAAAAGCTGTCAGGGAGGCTCTCCACTGTTTAATTTGAATGTGTAATATTTCGAAATCTTTTTTAGAAAACGACCTGTATCAGAGAGGAAATGCTTCACTTCTCTTCTATCAGCCTCAAATAAATCGAGGAGAAAATTACAATTTTATTAATGATTTTTCTCAGGTAGGGGGTCTCTGTAGTTTATAAGGGGGAGTTTCTCAGCTGTGGGCAGAGTTTGTCCTAACCGTACTTGGCAGTTTAAAATATAGGCTGTGTCCAAAATGACAGGCCGGGTCCTCCGGAGGATCCGGACTACCCGGTCGAGGTGGGTCGGGTCCTTGGTAGACCRGGAAGACCAGAAAAAAAAGAGCCCGTGAATTTGGACGGTCTAACCTCCCCCCCACCCCGGCGTACGTCATGTCACCTAGCAAAAATGACGACGCTAAACAGAAGCAAAAATAGATCAATATTAGAAAAATATAAATATATTAGCATTATTAATWTCACAAAACAATAAAATTAACTTAAAGGTAACATTTGAAGAACTAAATGACCCGCTGTAGGTTCATGTTTATTTCGCRTTTTTTATGACAAAAATAATATTTAAAAACACGTTTATACAAATGATAAAAGTATTAGAATTACAACCGCTAAAAAAAATTTAAATTTTTATATCGCCATATTTTTATTTAAAACGTATTCGTTTTTCTCGCTTCGTCCACCATTACTAGCTTAAAAAAATCTCCGGTCGGGCCGCAATGCATTGTGGGATACACTGGGCCAGGAAGGATCCATCGGACCTATCCTTCAAATTGGGGAAAAGAAAGGAAGCATTTGTCGGCCGCATCGGAGGAGTCTTCGGTTTTGGACGGCCTTCGTCGCGGTGCTGTGACGTATGCGGCCGACAAATTTGGCCTCCTGAGGACCCGGCCTGCCATTTTGGATGCAGCAATAGGCTGAGATTCTTGGATGTGGGCGGAGTTTTGCAAAACCGTGATTAGTTAGATTGACTTGTCTCGTGGGGAAGTTAAAACGTGAATTAATTGTAATTGTAAATATTATTGTCAACATGTAAATATAATTTAATGACTGTCTATTTAGTTTAGGACACAACAATGTCTTAAGTAAAAATTATTGTATTCCGTGTGGCTAGCACCTTCCTGTCTGGAATTATGACTAAAATTTGACCGAGTTACACCTACCAACCGAGCTGCCCATCGTCCATCCAACCAAAACGTTACGGCAGGAAGTCAAATACATTTTCATCGAGGGTCACGGGAGCGTTATGGTGGCAGTTATAATTAACTTCAACGTTTCATGTTTAACTTCACCTAAACCGAAAACGTCTCGTTCAGCATGTCATTGCTATGGCTGAGCACTGCTATAAGAAAAAAAACTGACCTCTACATGGTGTTTCTTGCATAGAAACAGCGTTTTTAACACATCCTCTTATAAATAATAAAAAGTACTAAATGTATAACTGACTAAATGTGAAATAAATACTATTCAAAGTAAAAGTAAGTTTTACTCAGTGTTGAGTTGTAAGTCTTGAATTCTGAATTCTCCCACTTTCAAACKGGGTATTTCCATTGCATAATCTACATGCATTATGGGAGACGTAGTTTATGGTCAACTCTTGCTTTAAAACAGTTTAGTTTAAAGCATTAATTAGGCCTAATTAACTAAATTTCTCAGCGGGTCACAATTACTCAAAGCCACCAGATGAGGGGCCAGTCAAGTATTATTATACTATACCTTTTACATTTTTTTTCTTGCATTGATTCATAAATTTAAAGTTTACCATTGATATATTGGTAAACTGAAGTAATTATACATTGGTATATTAATGTTGAGTAAGGTAAAACGATTATACATTGATATATTGGTAAACTGAAGTAATTATACATTGGTATATTAATGTTGAGTAAGGTAAAACGATTATACATTGATATATTGGTAAACTGAAGTAATTATACATTGGTATATTAATGTTGAGTAAGGTAAAACGATTATACATTGATATATTGGTAAACTTTAAATTATACATATAAATTATTATAGACTATTGTTTTAATTTATTTACTGTTTGAAAAAAGGGGCAGATATTAATAAGATTTTTTTTCTTCTTTCTGCTGCCTTTCATTTTATTTGTGATTTGTATTTTTTTGTTGAGTGTATATTATTTGTTGTATGTTTTAATGAAATGAATAAATAAATAAATAAATATAAAAACTATTTTTATATTAAATTAGGTAATAAAAGAAAAAAAATTGGYGGATCCTTCTGGCATACCGGACGAAAGTCACCTTCCAAAGCTTGAATTTGACACATGGGCTTCTTCAAACCGCACCCAAAGTAGTCAAATCCAACCAGTCATGTTTTTACCAAAATCCAAACACAAAAGTCAAACAGACCAATCGTGAATTTGACAAACTCCCCTCACACACCAAGAAACTCCTAAAGTACCCCTTGTCATTTTTCTCAATAGAGATTTGTTGTTTTTTATTTTGTCCGTCTAGGTCCAACATGTGCTGACATCCATGACCCGTGCGTGCCGACCAAGTGCCACGTGACGTCTCAGTGCAGGGCGCTGCCCGAGGGAGGGTACAAATGCGAGTGTCCCATGGGACGGGAAGGAAGACACTGCGAGAGAGGTGATCACACCAACTCTTCTATCTCACTTCAGTTTTTCTCCTCAGTATTTGCATATTTTCCTTTTCCCTCCCACTTTGTGACATGCCCATCCAATCCTGGGGTGAAACGGATGCAGACGGGGGGGGTTAAGGCTTCAGATGGGGAGGGTTGTTACGGAAGTGCGGCCTATGATTGGCCCCGTTGGGCCGTTCGCCCCATCAGCTCAGCTCGGCTTGTTAGCGAGAAAGCAGAAACCTTCGCTTCCTCTCTGCCTCTCYGCCCACAGGTGTTGTGTTCAAACTTGTTTGTTGGTACTTAGTTTCACATGGCAGAACCAGTCTGGTAGTGGGGGAAAAAGACCGTAGCGGCGCTCAGATGCTTTTGAAGTTCATCATTAAAAGTTTTCGGTGGTGTCACATTCTGAAGTCTTCTTGTGTGTGTGTGTGTGTTTTCCCCCCTCCCCTCCTTTGTAGATGTTGTCATGCATGCACGTAGAAGCTGACTTCTGCAGCTGCAAATTAAAGAGAATGTGCTGTTGTGCTCTTTATAAACAAAAGAGAAACATGCCTCCTTGAGCCCCTGAGGAATTTAGGAATAAACCAGATGGGAGTAGCCTCCATCCAAGTACTGAGTCTCAAGTTAGCAGGTGATTAAAATAAAYTGAGGTGAACCAAAATCGATGCCATGTGAGCGAGAGCATCTCCCATTCCAAAAGGCTATTTTTACACAGGAATCAATGAGATGACTAATCGCATCAGTCCTCCCTGCCCGCGGTGATTAATGGCAGCATCAGTCAGCCGGAGTGTCGGTCCCAGACAGGAGCTCACAGATAAGCAGGCAGTCAGGCGGACGTCCACTCCGAGGACTGTCTTCAGAACAGTTCAAAGGACAGGTAGCTTAGAGGCCACTCGTCAGGAGCCTGAAGGTGAGCGTCGTCATAATAATGAAGCGTTTGCATCCGAGTGAGCGTGAGAGCCCCTGCTGAGCTGAGGTTTCCCTTCCAATTCAGCCGGGGTTCAACAGTGCAGCTCGCCGACAGTTAAGGACTTTCCTCAAGGGTGTTCCAGTTGTAACGAACGGCCTACTTTCACCCTCTCATAATATAAATTATTGTCATTTACCAATGGAAATATCAACTACAGGGGGCGTTTCAGTTTCAACAAGTTGTTTTATTTATTTTTTATTCCCCATTAGCTGCCTTTACAGTACAAATCAGTCACCGCTCAGTGTACGTGACTCTGAAAACAACGTCAGCATCTAAGGGGCTGATTGTTATTGCTGTCGCAAAGTCTTTTAACTGGCAAAATGTACATTTTAGTTGCTTTGTTATCACCTCTCCTTGTTTATGGGGGTTTTGATGGGTTTTACTGCATGTGCTAATGATCCAGCATTGCTCAAAGATAAACAAAATGGCTCCCTTGTTCAAGCATCAACCTTAGTATCGCTGGAACCGCTTCATAAGTGTTGCTTTTTGCCCAGAATTGCAGAAGGTGAAGGAGATTATGTTTTTGCCTGTGAGTGTGCATTTGTAGGCTTGTAGCATTAGCAATAGATCTCATAAGCCAACAGGGACATAAAGTTGCAACTTGCAGAAACTGATCATTAAATATACAACTACTGGATTCAGCTTGACTCTAAATGGCTGCCATCTTTAGAAAACATGGAAGCTGGGTCTCAATTCAAGGGTTGCAGCCCACGTAGGCGGTCCATGTAGGCTGCATACAACGGTCTAGTCTTTGGATGATATGTGTTGCGTTTTATATTGCATACTTTCAGTTTGATTGTGTATTCACATGTCTTTCTACAGGAGCTAGAACTTCACCAAAGCCAGTATCATTAAAAAAACGCTACACGTAAATAAATAAAAGCGGTGAYAATTTGAGTTTAGCTCCAGTATCAGTRCCTGTAATTRCATTTTATTTAACATCTCACTGCAGTAAAAATTAAACATACATTTAAAAACACATTTTTTAGGTGCGTGATCCAAAACCTTCTGTAAAAAATAGAAAAACTGCTCCGCTGTCTTYGTTTTTTCTTTTTAGTTTGTCGACGGCACAGTGGATCCTGGGATATCCTCAGCCGTTTAGGATACTCARAAGCAGCCTATGCTTTGGGGGGTTTTGTCAGCCTACGGCGCAGCGCAGTGACATAAGCGGCCACCAAATGCGCCCCTACGTCGACTGCAGCCCCTGACTTGACRCTCAGACGTTAATTGAGCCTCATGCAAGAACTGTTCTTACAAACAGATTTGTTCTTAAGTTGTGCGTACGAGTGATTTATGAGAATTTGTGACATTCACCAATTTTCACGTATTGTAAGATTTTCTTCAGATACGAACAAAATTCACGAGTGGTCCAGACCTGTCGTATATTTTACGAGCAGTCAGTCTGCTGTTATCCAGACAGGTTTTCCTCCATAATAACTTTATATTTCATTAGATTGAAGATCACGACTGCTCTTCTGAATAAATGAAAACTATGTAACACAGTTGTTTGCACTTAAATTAAAAAAATTTGACCAAAGGAAAACCGGCGCAGGACTAGAGAGAGATGAATATGATATAGATTTTTATTTCTGTGACTGCGTACGACCCACAGGAGACACAACATCGACAGCACATTTCATTCCTCGGCTTTWAGCAGCTCCTTTAATTCCACAGCTGACTCTGCTAAAAATGACAGATTTTCTTTTCTGGATCTCTGAGAGCAGAACTTCAATCTCTGAACTCCTAGTTCTTTTTTTTACTTTGCGATGTCATTTATGAACAGACACTTCCTGGTCTGTGGGGCAGTAAACGTAGCCTATATGGTGTTTTTGGGGTGATAGATTATGCTAATCTCTTCTCCTCGTGCGCAAACAGCTGGATATGCATTCATCAGTTTACGCTGCTCATTTACACACTTTTCCTGACGATAGAAAAGTTTGTTGAATCTGACGTGGCATTATCGTAGAAAAAAAGTAAGAGAAATTTAGGATAAAAATACGAACGTTCTTGCATGAGGCCCATTGACTCCATTTTCACAGATTTTGTACTAAAATGTGGCGTGGTAGCTGAGAGGCATTTATAAGACATACTCCAGGTATGAGTTGGTAAACCTTTTAGTTGACGAGCTCAGAGTCTTTTCCTGATTGTTCAGCTCCTGTGACAACTTGACCTCTTGACCTATTGATCCGTGTATCAGGAGGAACAAACGGGTGGAAAGGAGAAAAGCTGCTGTCTCAGTCAATTCTGAGTGATTCTCTTACTCCAGGAGAGCTTAGTTTAGTAAAGGGGTTACAGGTCTGGTTTTCCCTCTTCTCCGTGATGTGTGCCATCATCATTAGCAGTCTTCTGCACAATAGCTAATTAGCTTTCCTCATCTCTGTCTTCCTTCTCYATCCTGACTCAACTCAGCTAATCCCAGCCAATTACAAATAAACCTGCCCAGCCTGCTTCCATAGGTAGAGTCTGTGCATCAGACGTGTGTTCATGTAAGCGTTTAGAAAATCACAGGGCTCTGAAAGATGGCATTTTCTGTGCCATAAACAGCATACCCCCGAGTGACACTTGAATGACTTTTAATGTCAAGCCACTTGTTAGAAGATGGCACAGTGCCTGTCCTAATGACTCCAGACTGCCAGGCTGAGACGYGTCGCAAAGACATGAATTTGCGGAAAGGCCTGCCAAAATACAATAGCTTCATTATTTTACAGGTCCCAGATGTGTGTTAAACTCTCCATGTCTCCAAATGTTCTTTGTCATCCAGTGACATGCTGTGTAATCAGTCTGGCATAAGTATTCCTGCTTTTTATTCTTTTCTTTCCTTTTTTTTTGTTTCCTCTGTTGAAGAAAAAGTCCTAATCCCGAGGGCTATATGTTCACAGTTTTATCTCTGACATGTCCCTGAAAGATATACAACAATCCCTGCATTTTAATTCTGGCAGTAACAAAACACCAGGACCTGGATCTGAATCTAGTCTCTGTTTTTTTGTTTTTTCAGTGGTTGAGAGGAGAGGAGCTTACATGCCTCAGTTCAGCGGAGACTCGTACCTCGAGCTGAAGGGGCTCCATCTCTACGGCCATGATCTGCGGTAAGTCCCTCGTCTCTGAGTGAAACYTGCAGAGAGAGGCGTTGGAAACATGGCTGAACACTGAATATGATGTTGTTTTTATAAACCGAGCTTGTTCCGTGCCTGAAGCRGAGAACACGCTGAGGCTTCCTTAAGCCTGAGCTGAATTGATAATGAGGATTACATCTAAAGGTGGCGTCTCGCTGGGCTGCAACCGCTTCGTGAACGGCATTCGTGAGTGCGTCTCCAGAAGGTCTCGCAGTGTTTGCAGTAGTGCCCAGAGGCGGGCGGTCCTTCCGCCTGAGCGCTGGACACATTCAGAACTTTTCTGTGACAAATCGTCTCTCAAAATGATCACAGAGTTGACGCAGGCGTCGCAATCCCATCTGAATTTTGTCCGACTCGAGTGCTACAGATGCATTTTGACTGTTGATAGAAAACAAAACTAGTTCTCAAGTCTAAAGAACCACAGCAGCGGTGACAAACAAATGTTAAGAAACGGGTCCAGTTTTAATTTTCTAAGGTGTAGTCCAAGGTGTAGTCCAGTAGATTAAATTATAAATGAATGGCTGTTAAAGGGAAGGGTACGCTCTGGAWGAAGGTGGATAAACAGAGAGTGCATAACCAAGAATGCTGTTTTGCAARCAGCGTACCTCAGAGAAAACCCATGTTTGCATGGRGAGAAATGTAAACAACCCCAGCCAAGAGGCAAATGAGCCACCACCTTACTGAAATGTAAAATTACTGTATTCCTGCAGTTTTCCATTAACTTTTAGTCTCAAACAGCTGCAGCCTAATGAGATATTTCTATAAGTTTAACCTTATTTTATTTATTTATTTTCTTCTTTTGTGTTTTTTGTTTTGCTTTTGTTATTGGAAGACTATTTTGTTTAAATTTATTTTTTCGAGCAAAGGGATAGATTTAAGATTTTTTTCTTCTGCTACCTTTCATTTATGATTTTTATTTTTATTATATATAGAATTTGTTGTTGTTGTTTTTTAAATGAATCAATGATTATATGTTTGTCAAGTTTGCACATGTCAAATTGACCTAAAATAGAAATTCACTGCAAAAGTTGTCCATTTAACCAAATCTTATTATCTTATGTCAGCCAAAAAGTATTTGCGATCTTGTTTTGAGACTAATAATGTATACTAAATAAGAGCAGAATGTGTTAGATTATTGATCTTACTGGCCTGAAAATGTTCCTTCTTTCAAGAAGTCTTACCAATTGCAACAGTTTTCCTGCACTGGTAGATTATTTCACTTAATTTGAGTCTAAATTTTCTCAAATTCAAAAATGAACTGAGAAACATTAAACAATTCAAACTACTGTAAAAGGAAATGGTGTATTAGAATCAGTATTGTCATTTTTAATGTTAAAGTGGCTATATCATGTAAAATCAACTTTTTTGAGTTTTATATCATGTTATAATGTTATCCTCTCATCAAAAACATGCCCAGAGTCTTGCTTTGACTCATTCATGCATGTTTGAGAAATCCTGTGGTGTCCTGAAGCAGCCAGGCAGGGAGAAAAAATGACTGGGTGGGACTAGAACCGCCTTTTGGGATCAGCTCCTCCACTGGGCTGTGTCTCCAAGCTGAGCTTCCTCATCACAGAGTGCACACCCCCACCACCGCCTGTGACTCCTGCAGGCTCTCTGCAGTAACAAMGTGTGAAACTGAAAGTGAAACTGAAACTGTCTGCTGAGCTCCCAATACTACTTTTCAGYGCAKCCCTTTTCAGATTCAAAATACCTTTGAGGAAATGTATTTTCAGACGCCAAGTAAACAATGCCGAGCTTCCGTATCACTGCGCAACACCCCACTTGCTGAAATGGGCGGGACAGAAGCGGAGGGAGGTTCTTAAAGAGACAGAGGCCAATTTCAAGTTGTTTAGAAACGGAAAATGTAAAAACAGCATTTTAATACAACTAAAGGTGGCATAGATACTTTATTATGGTATAGAATTTAAATATATGCCTGAGAAACACATAATATTGCCCCTTTAATACTACTAGAGGTACTGTTATTAATACTCTTAATTATAGGAATATTGTAAGCATTACATTGAGTGTACTACATTAATACTGAATCTGAGAGTAGAATGGAGGTACATTGCTGCAATAGGAAAATACCATAATTATGATGTTGCTGGAGAAGGGGTGGGTTTTATTAAGTTTATACTTCTACCCACTCCTTTGAAGATTTATCACTTTTGTATTGTCATTTCATTTGTAATTTATAAAGTTCAATAAACATTGAAATACGAAAACTTCCTGGACAGGAAGTGAAACATCTTCAGCTTCAGAATAAAAGACCAGTTTTTGTTTGGGTTGRTCATGACCTTATCTTCACCAGCGAACAACAAAATTTTTATCATTTTCTAAATCTTGGGTTTGGTTGTTGATCTTTAAATGAAGTGGGTGTTTACTGTTGTTTTATTTTTGTTTTTTGTGCTTTCCCTGCAGTCAAAAAATCAGCATGACGGTGATTCTCATGGCCAACGATTCCAACGGTTTGATCTTCTACAACGGCCAAAAACTGGACGGAAAGGGAGATTTCATCTCTCTGTCTTTGAATAACGGGATTCTGGAGTTTCGCTACGACCTGGGGAAGGGACCGGCTACTATCAGGTTCACTTCATTTAAGAGTCCGTTCGAAATGACAGAATATAAAACTGCAACCAACGAGCTCACATTGGGCTGTGTTTGTGTTTGTGAACCAGGAGTAAGGAACCCATCCAGCTGAAYGTGTGGAACACCGTCAACCTGGAGCGTTCCCTCCGCAAAGGAGAGATCATGGTCAACAAGAAGGACCCTGTCCGAGGAGAATCTCCCGTAAGAAACACCAAGCTAACCAGCTCCTGCCGATGGTTGCCTGGCTTTCAGCATGCCGAACCGCTGGGCTTACGCTTCGCCTTGCTTCTGCCGTGAACCCGTCTGCGTTTTTATGACCCATCAATGCCACATCAAACCTCCGTATCGCTCCTCCAGGCTTCCTGCTTCAGACGCAGAAATGTTCCTCCTCGGCAGAGCTTTTCCACCTGGTTTCACAGGCTGGTTCTACTGAAAACGTGTCACTCTCTCTCCGCACGTCTGTAAAGATAGAAGAGAGCACTTCAGATGTCGAGGGCCGGTTTGACAAGCTGTCTCAGATTTGTTTTAACTCTCAGCCTTTCAACGTGCTTACTTCCTAGAGATAAAACACCRTCTTTGGCAGAATCAAAAAGCAGAAACCAAATCAAAAACCTCTGCACTGGTGGCTTGGGAGTTGTAGGCAACGAGGAGACGATAATGATTTTTTTTTAAATCCAGCATTTAGACCAATAAAGCAGGTAGCAGCTTCCAAATGAGGGTAATCTAATAGTTAGATTATATTAAAACGTGTAAACTGTGATTGTGAACAAGCAGACAGTCAGCTCCATCATAATCTACATGGTCTCCTCTCCCCTGTCACGGGTATGGTAATTGTGTTTCACTCCAGCGGCAGAGGCTGAAAATCTTATTAAAAGAAAAGAGAAAAAAACAGCAAAGATGTCTGTTGAGGGGAGGGGAGGACACTAGTTAGGAAGCTCAGTACAGTGAGCCTTTAGAGTGTGGCTCTCAGCTTATTCTCTCCCACTTTGGGTTTAAGGACCAAGAGTGGGGGGGGGGGCTGTGGAGGGTTACTGACTTCCTCAGACGAACCCACAGGAATCCTATGGATGCAGTTTGCACTTCAGGGAGTAATCATCACATCAAACGGTGCTCAGGCTGCCAGATGGAATGAGATGCAAACTTTCAGAGGTACAGATAGGAGAAATAAGAATCTACTSCACGTCTTATTTAATGGCAGCAGTCGGTAAACGAGCTCGGGTTAAGTGGCAGTATTCACAGCCTCGTCCATGATGCTTATTTTTTCTCRTTTTTATCTTTTTCACCTGCTCCTGATGGCACCATCTGCGTCGTGCACAGCTTTCTTCAGACACTGTCTTATCTGTATTCACTCCTGCACAGCTGTTTGTGTGTCTATAACACCAAATGCATCTCTCACATATTTWATTTTTTATGCATTTGTTGTTTTTGCTACTGCAGCTATTTTTAATGCCCTTCCAGATATGTGTGTTCGTGAGATAATTGGTGATTATGTGTGTTTTGTGAGCTTGCCTAGCTCCGCATGCCTTTTATGTGCACAAACACTTGCTAGTCTTTCCCTAAATAACTCTCTTCCTCCTTATTTTCTTTCCTTTCTCTATGATGTGCTGTCTGGAAATAAGAAATCACGCAAGGTAATGAGACAAATACCAGCCACACGTTAGCTCGTGTTTCATTTGAGTTGTTCACCACGTCCTCACACATGCACACATACACACACACCCCGCCCCCCTCATCTCTACATGCAGCAACACCAAAGAACAAACCTCCCTCTGCAGATTAGCTTTAAAAGTGCCAGCTCTATAAGAAAATAAATTCCCTTTTCATGAGCTCGTACTTGACCACACAGCGGCGAGGAGGAGATGCTCCTGAAAGAGCACGGTTTGGCTTTCACCTCGGTCCATCTGCTGCGGGGGAGGGAAGGGAGGGGGCGGGAAAGGTGGGAAGGGAGAATGAGAAGAAAGCAGCAGTGATCCTTGAGATGTCATTGTTTTTAGGCAACAAAGAGACATCTTCATTAGGCCGGTGTAGGCGGGGGGGGGGGCATCGCGACCGGTGCCACGCGCGCCTGTCGGGAAGTGAGAGCGAGGAGGACGCGTACTGCGGGGATGGCGGCGAGGTGCTAAGCCAAGCCAGGCTGTTCCTTTTTTTTAATCATCTGCTCCCCACTTCTGTCGCGAGCAGGAACAAATCCTGCCACTGTCTCGTGAAGTTTCTCACTCGCTCTGACCCACTCACCTACGACGGAGTATTAGGGCCACACGAGATTTTTTTTATTACGAGAATAAAGTCATAAAAATAAAGTCGTAAATTACAAGATTAAAGTCGCAATATTACGAGATTAAAGTATTATTACGAAATTAAAGTTGTAATATTACAAGATTAAAGTCATAATATTACGAGATTAAAGTCATAATGTGAGAATAATATCGTAATTTTACAAGATTAAAGTCATAATATTATGAGAATAATATTGTAATACTATATTACGAGGTTAAAGTCATAATATTATGAGATTAAAGTTGTAATATTATGAAATTAAAGTCATAATATTATGAGATTAAAGTTGTAATATTATGAAATTAAAGTCATAATATTATGAGATTAAAGTTGTAATATTATGAAATTAAAGTCATAATATTATGAGATTAAAGTTGTAATATTATGAAATTAAAGTCATAATATTATGAGAATAATAT